GGCGCTGTGTGCATCATGAACATGCGCTGGCCACCAGGGCAAATTCAAAACTCCGGCAGCAGCAGCAGCAGCAGCAGCAGCAGCAGCAGCAGCAAGCGCAGCAGCCAATCACGGACAACAACCAACAGCAACAGGAATTCGCAATAGCAAATAATCAACAACAAACATCGTCAAACTATAAATGACCAACCGCCAACAACATCATCAATAGCAACAGCAGCAGCAACAACAGCAACAACAATAGAAACAGCAACAGCAACAGCAGCACAAAAAGCGGCGGCGGAGGACGCAGCAGCAGCAGCAGCAGCAACAACCACAACCACAACCACAACCACAACCACAACCACAACCACAACCACAACCACAACCACAACCACAACCACAACAACAACAACAACAACAACAACAACAACCACGACCACGACCATGACCGCGACAACGACCGCGACAACGACAACGACGACGACGACGACGACCACGACGACGACGACGACGACGACGACGACGACGACGACGACGACGACGACGACGACAACAACAACAACAACAACAACAACAACAACAACAACAACAACAACAACAACAACAACAACAACAACAACAAGAACCGCAACCACAACCAAGACCACGACCACGATCACAATCACAACCACGACCACGACCACGACCACAACCACAACCACAACCACGACCACGACCACGACCACACCACGACCACAACCACAACACAACCACAACCACAACAACAGCAACAACAGCAACAACAACCGCAGCATCGCAGCCAACACAAAGATCAAAGCGAGATTCTCCTCGTTGCCTTGTTTGAATCAGTACTGGTACTTGACTAAAGGAATGCAACGTCTGAGCCGTGTGACATGAGCAGCATGCCCCGACAAACGCACACACACACACTTCCCAGCAGCGCGGTGTCATTCGATTCTAGCACTGTGTGATACAGAGTATCGCGTTCAATTGCTTTTGTTCCTGGCATCAGCGCAAATCACATGGATGAAGAAGATAACATGCCTTAAACGTTATCTCATCGCGTGTACTGAAGGTGGCCTTTGCAAATTCGCCGACAACAGACGGCGTGTTGGAAATAAGAAATGCTCCGTACTTCTTTTCCCGTTACCCCTCCCCTTACTATTGCCGGCTTGTGAATGATCTGGCCGCTGCTCGTGCGGCACGTGCGTCACCGCAAATCTCTCTAAGCAGGTTCCTGCGTCCGACACACTCCAACTTCCCTTACAATTGTTGGACTGTGCCTGCAGATTTGAGATCACAAATTTCAAAACCCCGTTGCAAACAGGGTCACCTCGTGCAGCTGGGGCACTGCCACGAGAAAAGTCTGCCCCCCAAGCTCGGTTTTGCCGCTCTTGCAAGCATGAATTCTGGTTGATCTCCGGTTAAAACAAGAAACGAATCGAGCCTCCAGGTCTGCCCGATTGTTCAATGCCCCAAGTCCCGCCTCGCGCCGCGCCTGAGATTGGGCGCACGCGCTTCGGGTCTGCCGGAAGCTACCCCCCTCCCCAGAGCGGTCGACGAGGCTTTTGCAAAGCTCGTTGGCTTGCCTTCTCGACCCTGCAAATGATCTAGACCTTCATTGTCCAATAGGGTTGGAGACTCGGGTCGGATTGGAGGGTAACCTTTGCATTGGCCTTGATTCTGGTAATTTCAACATGTCAGCAGCTTCCTCATGGCATGCCATGGCAATCATAATCTAGGTTTCATCCTAGCTGAACGTATTTTTGCGATCTATGCTTCTCAGCTGAAGACCTCTTTGCCAATTCTCCCCATCGGCATGAGCTCGGTGAGGCCGGCTGGCCAACTGGCTGCTCCAAATTGGGACCTCAGCCTGACATTCATGCTTTCATTTGCTGTAGCAGGTTCTTGTAAAACCACCGCAAGCTGAAAGCTATTGGGGTTTTCCCTCTTCAGCAGGGATGATCTCAAGATTGCTACTCAGTTTTTCGTTGTCATCAAGCACTCGTTGGGTTGACAGTCAAATTCAAATGCAATGGCTATCTGAGGAATTGGAGACACTCATTTATTTCACAGCACACTGAACGAGCCTGCAATCAATGTTTCCCAGCCGCAGAGCTTCATCCATGCATTTTGCGCCAAATTCAGGGTGGAGTAAACATTTTGTTTCAAGAAAAAAACAAAAACTTGGCTGGACAAGATCTTCTGCAGTGAGCGTCCGTAACAGCCAGCTACTTGGGCCCAATCCCAGACCCATCTGACCCGGCCTCCAAATATCCGCTGCTGATGCTCCGCAGCTCGAGTCTCCAAGTGGGCAAGGCACCTGGGCGCCCCGGACAGATTTTGGGACGACTTGCCGCCGTGACATGGGGACGCATTCTAAAGGAGAAACATTGGTCAGTTTGTCATATGTCACATAAACCAACGAAAAAGCACACACACACACAAAAGGAACCCGAGCCAGCGTTCCGGGCCAATTCAACTTGCCACTCTCGTCGGAACATTGGGATGAGCCTGCTCTTCCATCTGCCTGCAATGGTAAGCATAATGCGATTTCCAACCGGAACCAATAGGTGTCAATGCAGCGTACTGAGCTCTTTTGTTCAGCCTGGACCTGTCAAATGATGCAAGTACCCAACAAGTGCGCTAAATCACCCAAGCAACAAAGGTAAGTTGGCCCTGGTTGGTTGTCGTTGGGTTCTTAAAGACACAAAAGCAACGACTTTACAAAAAATATTATTAACAGCCCGGCAACACTTTGTGATCAGGCTGACAACAAGATTCCTATACAGTTTGCCAACCACTAATGTCTGGCAGTTTCGTGCCAGGTCTGAAATACCTGGCTCCACATAGCGCTCAATCCTGAGCTCGTTGTGCCCCCCCCCTTTCCCCTCCGTAAGTCCGTAAGTGGCTACCATACTTGCACATTCTTCGCAGCAATCCGGCCATTGCTGAACTCTTGGAGAGGGATCAATGGGGCGAAGTTACTCAATGACTGTGTGTTCAGTGACCCAGGCAGAGAATAGAAAATCGATCGCGTATTGAAAACTCGCTACTTAGCAACGGCCACGAGACCATCAGCTACTTTCATGAAGCCTTGGAACTGGGTCAGCCGCGGGCGCAATCATGTTGAATGCGTGGGTTCTCGCAACCGACAAGTCACGGGACAGTACGCATACCACCTCAACTATCGAGCTGCTGAATGGGAAAGACTTTCAAAGGGCTGTATTATCCCCGTTTTGAACCCAAGGGGCGTGGTGTAAATGGCAGCATTTCCCCAAAGACAAAGATCCTTCGGTCAATTTTCATGCAGGGTTCAGGACGCCGACACAGTGGTTGTCCCGTCCCCCTGATGGTTTCGTTGATCAGGGACTCAACATGAACGCAATTCCAAGAAGCTGTTAGCGTTGGTAAAAGGCATTGGAAAGCTACCAAAGAGCTGTTTGCCGTTTCATTCAAGGAGAAAGGGCCGCCCCCATAGCCGTGGAGACAAATGCCACTGGTGACATCTACTTCCGGCTCGGCAAAATGCTGAGGCCAGGCGCGCTTCCTGGACGCGGATCGCATGGTCCATTGCTGCTCGTGGCCGGTCGTCCATGAGCTTTGCTCCTTGGGCAATCCGTGAGCACACCGGACATTTCGCCAATCTGGGCAGCTAAACGCCAATGCCACGCTGCGATTTGGGCTGTCTCCGCCGAGCACACGTTTTTGTTTTCTTCTTTTGTTTTGTTTTTAATATATCCTAGCCACACATCGCTTACAAAAATGGCAAACATCAAGGCAGCTCTTTTGATTCACGATCCGACACCTTCAGAAGAAGTGTTGTTGTCGCTTGACTCATGGAATCTGCAAATAATTGACGCTTGAATCTGAGTCCGGGCACCCACCAACCAATATCCGCGTCCACATAAACATCAGGATTCCCCACCCCCCACCCCCCACCCCCCACCCCCCACCCCCCACCCCCCACCCCCCCACCCCCCACCCCCCACCCCCCACCCCCCACCCCCACCCCCCACCCCCCACCCCCCACCCCACACCCACCCCCCCACCCCACCCCCACATGCAACACACAGCCGCACTCGCACTACACCCAAAGCCTCGTCCCACTCACATGAAATAGATGCTGTGAAAGCGTCGCACTTTGGCTTTCTCCACCATCTTGCCATCCATCTCTTTTGCAGCGTCCTCCGCGTCTCGAGGCTCCTCGTACTCGATGTAGGCAGTGCGCTGCTCCGGCATCAGTTCCTCAAGCACACCGCCCTATGATCAAACACTAGTGGTTCTCGAAAAGAGCAAGGAACCCTGGCTCTGAGGAAGCTTCTCAATCACCTACGGTGCGATTGAACTAACCCTATCTCCGTCCCCAAGTCCATTGATGTGGGCAAACTCATAATCGATGCGTCCTGTCAGACCGCTTCGGACTAGATAACGGCTGTCACATTGACATGCTGCGGCTCCTTTGCTACACAAAGTGGGAACCAATCACAAGCGGACACTTTGCGACATTCAGCTATGCCACTGGACAGGCAAGGGCAGCTACATTGGCCTTGAGTTATGCTCCTCGCCATTTGGTTGCAATAGTAACTGCAAGCAACGGCTCAGCTTATGCGAACTGGGCCGTCTTATATATATATATATATCTATGCTGACAATTATTGTTGGGGACTGGCCTCTACCAAGAAGCCCTGGTGTTCCGCGCGAGATGCTGACAACTTGTGAGGCCGTCAGCCTAAGACCCCCGGGTGCCCTCCACGTGCCCTCCCGGCAAGGGTCAATACGCACGACGTTGCCAAAGTCGCCAAAGGCAGACTGCAAGGAAGTCTTGCGCACCCTGGGCGTGGCAGGCGTGGCATGTTCCAGGAAGTGTCCATGCACTTACATGAACTTTCCATCAACCTTCCATGAACTTTCCATGAGCTTCCATAAAGTGTCCATGAATAGAGACCCTTCATTTGACCCTCTGTGGGAAAATTCCAAAGGGAAAGGCCCAATGAGAGTATTCTTCATGGGAGAAATTGGACAATTCCAAAGAGAAACTTGCAAAGGGAGAATTTAAAGGAGACAAGTCCAAAGGGAAACTTCCCATGGGAAGATTCCGAACGGAAAATTCCAGTTGGACAATTTCAATGGGAAAAACACTTCCAGTTGGACAATTTCAATGGGAAAATTCCAAACAAAAACGTCGAATTGGAGACTTCCGATAGGACAAGTCCAAAGGGAAAACATCAAAGGTAAACTTCCAATGGGACAATTGCCAAAGGACATGTCCTAAGGGTGAAAGTTGACACAATGCTGATCCGGCCGTTTGGAGACGCTTGCCTTTACAGCTTCTTGCTCGATTTACCTCAACATTTCCCAGCAACGCAAAGCAAAACACTGGGTAAATCTCAAAGCTGTCACAACACCCCGCTGGGATAAAGCAAACGTTCAGGCAAAGCCCCCATCCGTCTGACTTGTGAGAAATTCCTGGCATCTAAAGCCATAAATGGGGCAGTGCCACTTTGCGAGTTTAGAAACCAGTCTTCCGCCAGCCGCCCTCCATTCGCCAAGGGACTTCTCGGGCAAATCCCGGACCAGGACCCGGGTGCCGCTGCGGATCAATCGCTTGGGGCCTCGAGCGGATCGGCTACTCCGCGCGACTGGCAACAGGGGGCCCTGCCTTGCTTGTCTCCTGTTCGCACCATGGCGCCGCGCAAGCAAGCCTCCAAAAGCTGAAGCTTGCTCCCTGCCGGCGTGGTGTCAGCGTAGCTGTCACACAAAATACGGATCTGCCACACACAATTAATACCTCTCGTAGTCAGCATCGTCTGTGCTTTGCTGGGTTGAACAACAAACCGGGCTGTTGATGCTCTAGCCATACAGCTGATAAGCCTCAGGTATCTCATTGCAACTGAAGGCCATCCGCGACAGCAAGCCTCCCACACACACACACACACACACACACACACACACACACACACACACACACACACACACACACACACACACACACACACACACACACACACACACACACACACACACACACACACACACACACACACACACACATACACACACACACACACACACACACACACACACACACACACACACACACACACACACACACACACACACACACACACACACACACACACACACACACACTTGTTCATCCGATTTCTATACGACATTGGGCAACTGAAATCCCAATGGAAATCCCAGAAAGGGATGCGGTTAATTGCTCATCCTAACTCCGTGCCGGCAACCTTGTTTTGCTCACTCTGCCGACCACGCCGGTCCGAAGAGAGCCTGGAACCGCCTGCAGGGCTGCGGTTCACGGGGCAACTTACAAGCGTGCAATGGAACAGCTCTGGCAAGGAAGGGAGACCATTGTTAAAAAATGAAATATACATTGGTGCCCATGAAGCCAATCCGAATGCTCGGTCATACCTGTAAGAACACAAACGAGAATCATACTGAGAGGAACCACAATAGATGTTGTAAAAAAGAAGAAGAACAAAAAACAAAACGACACCAACAACACAAACAACACTGCCAGCACCAGCACAGCCAGCACCAGCACAGCCAGCACCAGTGCTAGGAGCACCACCACAAACAACAAGAAGAACAAGAACAAAAAGAAGAAGGACAAGAAGAAGAACACCTCTTCCAGGGTGAAGGCAATGGCCGCTGCACAGAGTATCAAATGGGACAAGGACTTGCATCTGGTTCTGCCCGCCTCTTGATGAAGGTCTCATTCCATGACGAGGCCAGAATGGAGCCAAAGGCCCATGGCTTCTTCCTTAGCTTGTCACAAGAGCCGTATGTCGCCCAAAACACCAAAGTACCACAACCTTTGAACACTTGGGTCAAAGAAGTCATCCTGCCTGAGGAGCCTGGGTGGCTGGGTCCAGGCTCAAGCATGCTGCTGTGGCCAAAGGCCCGCTTAGGTGCCGTCACAAACGTCTATTTCGCATTCCACCATTCAGAATGTGATACATTGAAAACGGCCATATGATCCGGAGGCACAATAGCCCAGCAACGAAGGTCTAGACTATTAGAAATTGGTTCCGAACACATCCGAGGTCACCCACACTTCATGTCTAATATGCAAAATTCTAAACCAAGACTGAACCAGCAACGGTGTAACAATGTTGCCCTCCGACCCAATATTTTGTGGTATGAGTTACTTGGGGCTCGTGTTAAGTCACTAAAGTCACTACGTCGTCGCGTAAAATCAGAACCCCGCATGGCGTGAAGTCACTGCGTTCGCGGAAAGTGGCTACATCAACAGCAAATCTCATTGGGACACGCTCGTTAGGAAAGCAACACCCCCAGAGCGCAGATTCAAGGAAGCCACGTGGACACCACGTGAAAAAGCACCTTTGCACCACGCTGGAAGAAAGTCGTTTCATTTGCAAATGCCACTTCCAAAAGAGCGAATCTCATTGTACCACCCACTTCAGGAAAGCAACGCCCAAAAGCGATAATTCGAGGAAAAGAGCGAACCCCAGTGGGACACACTCGAAAGGACGACGTGGCACAAGGACAACTTAATACAAGCACCCAGTAGTGGGGCCTTTAGAATCAATACTAACACCAATAGTAAACCAATATCGAAGCAATGAGAAGCCCACCCACATCCGATACTGAAACCTGAATTGCGCGATTGAACGGTTTTTGGGCCTGGACATGGTGCCCCCCTTTTTGGACCGAAGAGAACCCAACCGGAGCTCGGGGCCGCCGGGCCGAACAAGGAAGCAGCAGGGAAGGGCCCTTCACTGAAAAACCGAATTTAGGCCACAAGTATGGATGGAGCTGCCTCCAAGGCTTAGGCTGCTAGGCCAGTCTAAGGGTGCTGCTCTTCGTTGCAAGTGCGCACAATCTGGGACACGTCGTTGTACCTCACTTACACAGGTGTTCAAGCTCCGCCAAGTCTGATTCCACGGCGCGAAGTTGCGAATTCCACACAGCTGCACACACCCTTTTGCGGGAACCAGGAAGCAGGCAACAAACAAATTTGCCTCAGTCAGCCTTTCTTGTGTGGGATTTGCGCTCGAATGCCTCAACTATTCGGTTCATTGAACATGCCTTGAGACGACTCTGGTGCGCACTTCACCTCGTTCTCGGGGCCAAGGATCACCAGCTTCGGCCAGGCCCGAACCTCGGAAACAGCAGCACGACTTGACAAAAAGTAACTCATGTTTGCTTCCAACCGGCTTCATTGGGTAAACTCAGGGGTCGCTATGACTTGCTGGGCTCTTGCTAGGTGAGAACCAGCTGACATGGTCGACTTGGTCACAGGTGCTCGGCTCCAATCAGGCAGCATCGGACTGGCTCGGATTTCAACTGGTCACCGAAGCTCAGCGGGTGGTTCCCTTTGTGATACGCAAACATGTCTTCACAGGCTAAGATTTCATGTGTCAACAGGTCTCAGAAAAAATCAGAGCGGGAAGGCCGAGAACTCTTACACCATGAGCCGAGCAATATGGCGCTTCTCGATGGCAGGAAGTAGCTCTGCAACCACAAGCTGCAGGCTCATACAATGAAAATACCCAACGGTCCCTTTCAACATGTGCGACACTCAGAGCTACCTCCATGCCATGAACATGGATCCTTCTCCGCATGCATTGGATGCGCACTGTGATGCATGCAAGCCTCATGGTTGCGACACACTGAACTGCCAGTTCGGAAGCGCTGAGCCTTTCCAGTGGCAACTAAGTCAAACAGCCATTGGAAGTGCATGTCACTTGGTCAATCCAATGGACGGAGGGATGTTCAAGCAGCAGGCCGCGTTGTGTCCGAAACACCACAAGTGCCACGACCAGATTGCAATGCGCAGTCACTTTCCTTGCACAACAACTTTTCCTAAAGCACATACAATGGGATCATCACCACGACCACCCTTGACTCAAGACAACTGAACATGTTCACACGAGCAACAAGCATCTCCTTGACGCGCCACATCAAAACTAGGTGCTGATTTGATTGGGCACGTCTCTCGCTTGGGCACCCTGCATCTGTGGGCACTCCGAAACCTCATCATACAAGCACGCAAGCCTGGCAACTGTTTTCCAAGCCTGCTGCCGGTCTGATCCAAAAAGCAAGCAATCACAACCACATCCACGGCAAAATTCACGCAGTCCAAACTCGGACATCTGAGCAAGGGGCGGTAGAAGGTGGCGGTGTTGTCCCGGAAAGGAACGGCCAACCATGGCATAGTTTTCACAAAGCGATTGAACCTCGGCAAACAAATGCCTTGCGTGGGGAACAGAACCAGATTGTGTTCGAATGATGGCTGACTCCAAGCGTGGCGGCGCCATGTTCGCCGTGGTTCAACTGCCTCTGTTCCAGGAATACAACAGGACGGTTGACAACAACGGCTACCGGCAAACGAAATGCATCAACATGAAATGTGAAACGTCCCACAATGGATCCTCGCTTAGGTGAGAAGGCGAGTTGACCCAATTATGGCACAAATGGGGTCAAGAAAGCAACAACGCATCTCACTAACTATCTGGGACCGTTTGCAGAAGCTGACGTACAGGGAATTTAAGCCCAGAATGATTGAACCAAACAAGACATATCTTTGAGAGCAACATCCATGCTCAATAGGATACACAAATGGGTGTGGAGGGTACCCCTTTTTGGTGGGTTTTAAGGGAAGCCACCATGTTTGGGGTCCCCTAAAAAACACACACACAAATGCAACTCATGTGCGCTGATCGGTATTCAGCGATCCAGCACTCTCTCCGCCTGAATGAAACGCCTCTGGAAAGCCCTGTACCTGTCACCCCATCGAAGCAAGGCATAATTCAGGTCCCGGCTCTCGCCGGCTGGTATCAGCTGAGACGTACACCTGAGTGGCTCCGGATGCACTCCCACAATGAAGATCAGGGTTGCAGCGCAACGTCAAACACCGCCTGAAACAACACTTATGGAAAATGCAGCCAACGCAAACAAACACAAACACACACACACACATACACACACAAACAAACAAACAAGCAAACAAACAAAAAACAAAAACAAGCCAACAAACGCACACACACACAGACACACAAACACGCACACACACACAAACAAACAAACAAACAAACAAACAAACAAACAAACGAACGCACACACACACACAGAAACACAAACATGCACACACACACACACACAGAGAAACACAAACACACACACACACACACAGAAACACAAACACACACACACACACCTATGTAAAGTGGTCATGGTTCAAATTTTCAGGACATAAGCCCGCGAATACAAACGCTAAGCCCAAATTGGACACCTCCCAATTCCGGTCCGGGCCGCTACCTCGAAAGGATCCGTCTCCTCCTTCTTCACAGCCTTCCAACGGAGTGCAAACATTGAAGCCTCTAGATACACCCCGCAACCCACATCGCTGCCATGGTTTTGTGTTGGCAGTTGGACTTAACAGCTGACACCTGCCATTTGAAGGTGGCCCCAAACTTGCAAAAGAACTATCCAAGGCTCCGTTCCCGTTGTCCTTTTGGCCATATCACAGCACATTGTGTTTCGTTGAGCATTCCGTCCTGTGCTACCTGATTCCATAAAAAACAACTACCGAGGCAAGCTGAGCGGTTCTGGACATATACATCATATACATGTGCATATATATATACATAGAATATGTATATATATATATAATATATAGAGAGAGAGAGAGAAGCGATTCAAAGCAAAGCACCTGTATGTCTTGCAACAGGACCACCGTAAAACCCCCCCTTACCAAAGGTGGAGAGTTCAAGAATTGCCAAGATGACTCCACTACAACGTCGACGAAACGTCGGAGAGGCTCAAATTGATATCAATATCCAGTTGAGAGCGCTCAGTTCAGAAGTAAAAGTGCAAAATACTCAGTCTGGGCGCCGACGTAAATCAACCAGAAGCACAGCCTCAAACCGGAGAATGCAGCATTCCTCGTTCTGTTTTTTCTTTCCCAGAGTCTGAACATGTCGCTAGCCAAATGCTATCCTTGTAGACCTTGGCAAGCACGCGCACGAAGCCGCAACCTGGCAGATGTGATCGTGGCGATCATAGACGGGCGTCTGCATCATCTTTTCATTTGAAACATGCGCAATAGTCACTACCCTGGATTAGGCCCTGAATCGTGTTCTGCTTCGCTTCTCACCTAAGTGTTTGGACGAGGGGGCCCCTTGTCAATCTAAGCATAGTAAAACGTTTGGCATCAGATCCACATGTCTCAAAGTGCCCAAATGACAGACACTCGTCTGTCATTCACTCGCTTGCAAAGTTGCCTTTCTCTGTCAGGGAACGCACTCCGTGTGTGCAATTTGGCCGAACTGTGTGGAGTTTGCCCAACAAACAAAACGAACACCACACACACACAAACGCAAATAGTACAGGGCTTGGAGCAGTTTTTCAACCGACCTACCCAACCGCAGCGTGCCGCTCTACCGATTGCTATGTTTGTTGTCTTGTCAATGTCTTTCTCTCTTCTTCTGCATTATCATTGGATGCGCAGCATTCCAACGTGTCAACGGACTCGTCTTCATTGCTTTTGCAAGCGTATCCCAGCCTGATGTCACTACATGTTGGGGGTTGGCCTTGTGGAAGAATATCAAAGATAACCGGAAAAAAAAAAAAAAAAAAAAAAAAAAAAGGAAAAAAAAAAAAAACCTCTCCCGAGACGTCATGCCCAACTCAAAGACAACAGCTGCAGTACCACTCCCGGGTCACCACTCCTGCATGCACAAGGGCGCCTTCTGGAAGCGTCCGTGTATCGGCCTCCGTTGAAGGAACTCCACATCGAAACATCATAAGAAAAGCATGTTCTGTTGCGTAAGGCCGCTGAGAAGAGGTTGAGCCAAAGTTGCCCCAAGGTTCAAACGGCTGGCGGTCTAGCGGTACCAGCTGGCAACACCCAAATGGCGATGTTCCCATGCTCAAATGGAGACATTGGAGCATGGCCCGTCCCCCAATTGACCATATTGGTTGGTTGTACTATGTTTTACTACCTGGTTTCAGGAAGATCCCTACATTAACCTTAAGAAAACCAAGCCCTGGCCACAAGGCCCCCTTGAGCCGGCAGCATTGGGCATCCGGACACACCGGGCCATTGGCGCCGAAGAGCAGGCCCAAGACCTGGCCAGAATGCAAGCGGGCACGAACCCATTCTGCGACCTTTTACGCCATGTTCGTCCCCTTGCCAAGAACGAGCCAATGTCAAGGAACTATGTGCCAGCTGTGCTTGTCGGCTTTTTCATGGCAGAAGATGTTGAATTACTTCCATCATCTGCTTATCGACTCTGCTGCGCACGATTGCTGGTCTGTCGCCGTCGCCGTTTGGCGGCGGTTGGGCTCTGGGGTGCTGGGACAAAAAGATAGAACCATATTGTCCTTGAATTGGCAAACGCGGTGGTTCGTGAACTCCTTCCAAGGGATTTGTTGGCTTGCTTGAAAATGACGCGCATCATCCCAGTGTTCGAATCAGTGCCGAGGCTTCAATGAGTACGTGTAAGACTCATGCAAACGCGTGTCGGGGGGCAGTTTTCTTGGTGAATGGTTGCTTGTATATGTGGTTTAGCTGTAGGTTGGGAGATGTGCAAAACGCAATTTGGGGTTTCAGCCCATTTGGTTTGGCAATGCTAAGCAATTTCAGGAGGAGGTGACGCCCGTATCCTAGCTTCCCCGGTTGCGAGCTCCTGGCAGTGTGCACGAGAGATGTCTTTGAGTTTTCTCAGATGTGCCTTGTAGATTGGAACACAACAGGTTGCTCCGAGAAACCCAGGGCGGTCAGAATCTCTAACTCCAGCGCCTGTTCTGCCTGAGGGAGGTGTAGAACATGCGCATTGCTGCGAGCTAAATTAGAGTCCGCAACCGTTGCAGTGTTAAAGCATCCTGAACATGTCCCAATCACGTTTGGTTCGAGCAAGAACTGGGGGCCAGGTCTTGTGAATCCTATGTACCAAATCAAGTTCGTAACAATAAACATCTCAGGTAGCCTGTCAACCGCAATGTTCCTCCAGCACGTAAAGCATATGAGCGTTGAGCCATGCGAAAATGTATGCACTCTTTGATCACTGACACCTCAAGTTATTCTTCCTCGACTCACGCGACAATACACGATGTTCAGCAAAGAGAGGAAGGCTGTGTGTAAGCGTAAATGCTCACACCTGCCTAAGATTTTTTTTTGGTCTAAGCACCCTTTCAGTCCTCGCCTTATCTCGATTGCTTTCTGTTCCACTGCTGAAAGTTTAGCTTTTAGTGGTTTAATGGAACACCCATTAGTTGGCAAAAAGTTAAAGTCCTAACATCCGTTGGCAAAATGCACCTCTGTTAAGGTGGGGAAAGGTGAGACCGCTCCTCACCTTGCCGGAGAGGACGTCCTGCGCAGTGCTGGCAAGGAATACCTACTGTGGATGGATGAAATCCATTTTGCACCACCTAAGAAACCATGGGAAACCATCGTTCGTTGGTATTTACAGGGGAATGATCATTCCAGGGGTTCTTATGTGGTGCAGGATTTCGTCCGTCCACAGTATGTAGCCCTGACCTCTAGTGGACAGGGAAATTTCACCACGAAGACTATGTTTGCAATGATCCTCACTGGTAGTTCTTGTGATCCCCCGAATAAAGATGTGTTCCCTTAATCTAACGGAGAAAGGCCAACATGCTTAAAACACCTCAGGCTGATAAATCACGAAGTGCCGTCTTGCATAATTTAAGTGCAAGCCAGGCAACAAGTCCTGCTGTTGAACCAGCCTCTGCTTGGCGGCGCACACAGAACAAACTTCTTGTCAAACTCGTCGACCGGAATCTGCATTTTATCGAAGTGATGTCTTGCAAGGTTGGATAGGAATGCCTTCCTGTCAAGGGAACGCACATATTGTGCCCCCCAGCTGTTGCCCGGAGGACAGATCTGATAAGTAAGTTCCAGCAACTTCATTGCTCGTCAAAGTTTGGAATGATGAAAGAGTAACAAACAAATCGCTCCGATTTGTCTTCGATTGTTCTGACATACTCTTCCCAAGCGAGCCGCGTGGGCTCCCGTGTCTGGATGCGAACAGATCTACACTCAACGTATCAAAACTAGGGTCGATAGCACAGCAGTCTTCAAACAGGATCAAAATGCCAAGATCACAACCAGACATATGGAGGGAGCCAACAAGTCGTTTTGTTGGGCATCTCAAGAAATGGCCAGAGAAGCCGCCGCACCTTTGCATCATATTTTACCTCCGTGAATTCTGGACTTTTCAAAGGGCAAAGAGACTCTCGAGCTTTCTTCATTTGTTGGTTGGCATGTTTAGTATCTCTGCATTTCTTGGGGAGGCGTGTCAACACTATAGCAGGCATGGTTTATTGAAGCATGTGTGCGGTTTGTTGCCAAATGGTACAGCTATGTACAGCTAAATCGCTGAAGTGCGCGCCACCTGCACCGGAATGCTTTGCATTGGAAGTCCCATGCCATTGCAATGGAGGGCACTTCATGTATCTGCACCCTACATTATCACACAATCGCATCAGTGCTGCTGAAATGCTCCTCTGGGATGTACTCCTTCTTGCCATTGCGATATGTCACCAGGCTGTTGGGTGGAGCCTGCAGACATCAACCATGGATCAAATCAGCCAGCTCATCTTCACAGAGCCCTTGCCAGCATCCTCCTATTTCAACTGATATTTGGATGAGTGGCTGGCAACAAGGCAAGACCGGCTCTTCAGCAATGTCAGAGGCCAGGATAGAAATAGCAGTGCATGAGCACAGTTACCCTCATTATGTTTGCAATTCCAATACCAAATCATAATCATCTCTGCTTGTTGCGCATATGCTTCAAGTATGTCTTCCTGACAAGCAACACTGCGTACATCGAAACCTCGCGAATCACCAACCCTTGGAGCATGATTGGAGGATAAGGCTTGAACAATTGCCATCATGTCAACTCATCCGAGCCTCTGTGGAATTCGTAAACAACAGCAGTCTACCGCGTGGCTTTGATGCTTCGCTTCCATAACTTAAGGTTCAACTTTGTATGGGCCCTATCTCCAAATGCGCCCTCGCAACCAATATTCATCTGGGATTGTGTGTTTTGACCGTACCCTTTTTGACTCTGCCTGAAAGGGATAAGAAAGGAAAGCCACCATTGTTTAGGTCCCCCTCTTCCGACACTCATATTCATTTGCTGTGAACCGACAGTTGAAACAACCGGGGCGGCGACACCTCAAACAACAACTGCGTGCCGTGGAGCCCGTGCTGCAAGACCCTGCCTCAGTGTCAGACAGCGCGTCACTTAGCGCCGTCTGCGGCGATGTCTGGGCAGTCGAGGCAGGGGGCCAAAAGGCAAGGTGCTAGACTCATGGTCTCGATCCAACAGAGGAAACTGCTACTTGCTGAGGTACCTCCACGGTCCATGATGCATGCGCAAGTCTCAAGTTCTGCAGCGGAGTTTTCAAGGCTGCAGGGACCTTGTTTGAAGATGCCCGTATTGTGCAGCGAAATTCCAACTAGGCTTTTAATGCAGATTGGTAGGACACAGCAAAAGCAACAAATCCAAAAAATAAAGTGCATACGCGAGATGTAAGAAGAGTTTCGCCTGCCATCCACCCGCAAGCTCACCTTCAGAACATTATGTCGGCAACTCACACCTCCGGTTCGTTCCGCTCGACCAAGGTGATAGCCTCTAAAACCATGCGAGCGAGGGAGATGCCAAATGAGACTTGTGATGTATCAAACACCAGCTTACCTGAGAATCGTTCTGTCTTGCGCGCATCTCCGATTTTCCTTTTCCCATTTTTGGCGTAAGGATCCCTTTCGGGCCAGGGGCTTTGAAGGCTTAGCAGTGCTGCGGTTTTTCGCTGCTCCATTCACGGTATTGTTTGCAGAAAGCCAAGTCCATTCGAAGCAAACCCTGAGCGAATTTTGCATATCCATTGCTCAAGTACAGCATATTTTGGACATGCTCAATACGGTGGCGAGCCTGCTTGATTCGAGAGGAAGGGCCAACCAACGGTCATGGTAGTCATGGCTAGATCAGCCGATCGAAGACGCGAGAAGAGCCCAGGAGGGGTCAATTGATCTGGGACACACGGAAGCTCATGTCATGTAACATTAACAAAAGTAACATTAACAAAACCCACACCGTACACAATCATGTAGGATATGGTGGGGGTCACTTGATGGAGATCATAAGGAAAACAAGACAATATCCATAGCGGGGTCCCGGAATCGCGACACTGTTACTCCTGTCGGTGTCCAATGATCAGGAAGGCAGAGCAAACCCTGTCATCAAAATGCTAGTCCTGGTGTTGATACAAAGTGCATGCGGACGGCGGTTCGAACTACGCCGCCAGCAATAACTAGCATGCACTGTAGTTATCATGGCAGTTGCAAAGATGCAAAACATATGTCACCTTGCAATGGTAGTTTCCTTTTGGTGTCCCTTGAACCCAAAAGGGGTTCCCTTCTGCCTAGACAAGACCCATCATGTGCTGTTCACGGGCACCTCGTACTTCTCGCGCAGGTTTGGGTCCACCTCGGCGTGAAAGCAAGCTTGCAACAAGTGGTACCTTCCAAACCAAGCATAGAGAAGGCACATTGACAGAAGGATTGGCTTAGTCCCAATCAAGACCCATACGATCCCATACGCACATTTGCTGACAATTGATTGAGATGGCGGAATGACACAAATCAGGGGCAATCCTCTCAGCCCGGGGTTTCGGGTTTCTGGGTCGGCTCAGTCGGGAATGCGTTTTGTCCGCAAGCTTCATCCAACACTTCATTGGCTTGAATGCTTCAGGTGAAAAACATACACGCATCAAGTGCTCACCGACTCGTTCGCAAAATGCAGGTTCCAAGCAAGAACCCGACCCTTCTCAGTTCAACTTTGCCTCAAAACCAGTGTTAACGTCAACGTGGCTCAGCTAGCTTCCATACCTGCGCTGCCAACACTGCTCATGCTCCAAAGTAGACACGAGCGTGCTCGTGTTGGATCACGCGCGCATCTTGCAATCCTTCAATCCGGGTCCATGAAGCCAAGGGCGTGGCCCTTGGTGGCTGCATTTGACCCAACTCCAACCGTTGGGCTCATGAGGCTGCCATGCCACTCGACAAGCGCGCCAGGGACAGCACATGTCTTTCGCTGGTGCTCTTGTGGGTCCACCAATGGCAATCACCTCTATACAAAAGACTCAACAACAGCACAAACTGTTCGATATCATGTAGCGAGCATGTACCAGCATAACTCACATATATATATATATATATATATAATATACCAAAAACCGTTCGCGACACCCGCTACCATTCAAGCTTCACACCGCACTCTGATGGTGGGAATCCCGCGATCAAGCCCTGTCTGGGCGCTCGAGCCACGTGTCCTCTGATCTCTGCATTCTCCCTCGCCACTTGAGCCGCGCGATCCATTGCAAATCAAGTACGTGTTGTCTGGCCGCGGCATTGAACCTTCACATCAGCTTGCTTGCCAATTGCAAGGTTCCTGGATGGAGGTTTAAATCAGTGTTCTGAAAAACTGGCCCGTCCTGTCCAAAGTCATAGAGGCAATTGGCGGGATCTACGCTGTTTACGCTAAGACAACATGCACACTTGGCTGATTTAACAACTTCCTGGAGATACTCAGCCCGGCTGGGCGTCATTCCGGGCGCAAGCAAGCACAGCTCTAAATCAGCACGTGTCCATCTAAAGTGGCCAGCACAGGAAGCTTGAGCCGTGATGTTCTGCAAAAATGGCATGTGCGACATGCCGTGCTCAGACAATGCACTCCGAGAAAGCCTAAAACGTCTCGTATTGACCAGCCGCTCAGCAACTGTGTAATGTGAAGCCACGGTTTGCCTGAGTGAAGACAGAAGGCACTCTCATTCCAACCTCGCTAATGTCAGCAAAGCGCCATTCCTTGAAGAATCACTCAATAGATGTTCTTCCAATCTGGAATCTGATATACCCATATGCAGATATGTCAGCGTATACGTTCGGACAAGCCATAGGGGACATCGCGCCGAAAGGGGCATCCGAAGAAATCCAGAAGCTTATCTTTCCGATTCGCAATGTCAAAACGCAAGCTGAATCCCAACCCTGCAGCTGCGCCGTGCCACTTTGGCTGCAAGCTGTCCTCGAAAATCACGCCTAAGGCAAGCCGCCATTCGGCGACTAAGACACTGTACGAGGCGCAAAAGTTCGCTCTTGCGAGGGAGGAGCAGCTGCGCAAGATGTGGGCGCAGTAAAACAAAGCCATGCAAATGCAGCAGTCTCTCGGTACGAGGAGCGCGAAGTAAGCATTGCTGCTAGACAGTAAAACTTGCACCCGACGGCATGCCATCCTGAGGCCAAGTGAGCTTACATCCAAAGTTAAGCTTGCCATCTTGCCGTTCTACTGCAAAGTGCAACTTGTGCGGAACATGGCATGCTTCTTAAGCGCGATCTTGTCTGCAATGACTTGAAAGGGGCCACTTGGCAAGCACTGCATTTATGCTCTTCAAAAACATGGCTGGCATCTAGTACAACCAATCCCCAGAAGCACACGAGGGCAAGAATAGCTGAATATGAGGACCCTCCGCAATGATTGAATAATCAACGGCATTAGTCCAAGTGAGTTGAACAACTACTGAAAACCAATGAGGCAGCAGCCGTACATTGTCGTAAATGTAGGTTTTTCGAAGTACAACACGCGTTGCACAATTCCACCAAGCAAAGCTCTTGTGAAGTCTGTCCCGGATGACTGCGTGCACCCGCATGCCTCACTGACTCTCCGAAAACGATGCTCGGGTCGGAAGATCCTCGCAAAGGAACGCTTGCCACAGCAGAGTGTTTGGAAAAATATTAACGTTGTCCAACAAACCATGGCATCAATGATTGAGTTCAACGACATGTAGACAGACGCATCACATGTGTGCATGTACATCCATAAATATTATATTTATAATTTATAATAGTACTACGAATAGAGAAAACTAACAACTGAATGAACAAGCCAACAAGCAAATAACATGGAACAAACAAAAATACAGAAAACAAATAAAAAAATAAGTAAATAATTTAACAAATAACTTAACAAATTAATTGATCAATAACTCAAACTCAATCCAGAATAGCTGCAGAAACAACTGAATAAAACAGAAACAACACATGAGACACGCATAGGCATCTTTTGAAAAATGACATGAGCAAGCGAATAAATAGTTCACAAGTCAAGAAATCATGAATCAATGCAAAACTACATTAAACACATGGCCCAATATATATATATATATATATACGCAAATGAATAATTACATGAACAATTGATCACGAAACCAAACAAACAAGCATACATACCAACAAAGCAAATAGATGATGATAAATAAACCCGCAAACAAATAAACACATAACATACAGATATACATCTTAATACATATCTTTAAGCAACATGTGCCTTGCATAAAGCACACCAGAATATCAAAGTCGTGGCGCACAGGCACAAATACACATTCACACTTTCAAGCGTGCATGCATTCGCGCAAACACACAACCAACGATTGATACTAACTACCAGCGATATGTCCATTCCTTCCGTCGCTAGAGTTTCTGCCTGTTGCGGTGACCATAGCGTGCGATTTCTGAGGACCCTGCAACTCTCCCTCAAAGGTGGTTTCTACGCTTTTGACATTCTAGGGTTTCCTTTTTTGTCCACATGCAGGTCAAGAGACAACCGTGCACGGGCCCCATTCAATAATTAGTTGCATGTTGGTTGCCTTCAAAACTGCCCGAAAAGTTCAACTGACTCGGTCGGACTTGCGCTTTTGGCCCGGCCCGAAACACTTCCGTCCCTTCGGTCCCGCGGAAGCGGCCACTCGGGGTGCTGGGGCGCGCGGATGAGATGCCGCCTCACGTCGGGAGGCCTTCCCTTTGGTCCAGCTTTACAATTGTCACGGGCTGTACCGTTCGTTCCCCTGGGCATCCTTTTTGGTCATTTCACTTGGAGAGCGCCGTAAGCAGGAAGCTTAACAGAACAGCACGGGGAAACCGGGCGGGCGGAAGGCAGGTGAGCATGTTCGGCGAGGCCGCGGTTGTTGTGATTCCAGGGATTCGCAGGAATATCCCCGACACAATCAGATGGTGTTTGTGTGGTGCCTTTTTGCAATTGGACACCCGAAACAAGAAGCATGAGTCGCTAGTGGCTGCTGCCACATTTTGTTTTTCGACTACTCAGGCACGTCTTCCCCCTTTTTCGGACTTACAGCAGACCTTCAGTACCACGATCCCTTGGGCAACCGGGCAACTCCAGCACCGTCTCTTGCGACGCTGGCTCCACACCTTGTGGCCGGAACGGTTCCGGTCGGCACAACCCCGAGTCGTAGCGGCACCTGCGCCAGCGCGCAACGTGTTGGTACGTGAGATCAACTGGCATCAACAAGCAATACAGAAAGCAACCCGTCTTTTGTGTGCTCGGCAGTGCTCCGGGGAGTCCACTTGTGTGTATTGTCTTCAGGTCTCTGCCAACATCAGGTTTCCGCACGCGGGAAGACTATGCCGACGGCTGCGAAGCGCACATGTGCTTTGCTGTTTGATCTAAAGCCAGGTATTTTTAGATCCACCGAGGATACGAGCGATTGGCATCCTTACCACTCAGGCTGCCGGCTGCCCTTTGTACATTGAATTGTTGGGATGATGGATCAAACTTAGGAAATGCAGAACTGTTTCACCTCAGAACTAATTTATAGGCCACATTTTCTGCGGGTTGTCTTAGAAACACCGAAGAAACTCGAGTGCAGCCCCGACCCTGCCACTCCGACTGCATATGGATACAACACAGCAAGGCTTGCGCGACACCAACTTTTGCATTTGCTAAGAGCGGGCACCAAAACGTCTTGAATAACTTTTGCCGAAACTCCAATTCGCAAAAGGACACAGGAATGACATGCTGCACAGTGTGCTGCCCTGTTCTTTGTCAACTGAGATCAAAGAGAGCAAGCAAGAAGTCGTGGGGAGCACGGCACGGAGCAAATGAACAGGCTCAACAGCAACTCATCATGTCTCAGAGAACTGTCCGGAACTGCTGAGTTGCACCAACCCACCCACCCACCCCAGATTGCCCCCATATCTTGGGAGGTGGAAGTCTAGCACAAATCAATCGAGGTCGCAACTACAAGTACGTTCATCCTTCCACTCTGCAAACGCCTGAGTCCCAAACACCGCGAGAAAGAGAACTCGCAGGCCTTTTCCGCATCCTGGCACGAATCGAATGCGACCACGGTGAAGCAGCTGGCCATGATTGGCCCCCTCAGAATCGGCTAGCCCTGCCGCCCAGTGTACTCTCAGCATCTCAGGATATGTGATATTGTGACTCGATGGTCCTCTCGAGACCGACCGTGCGACATGGCAACTCACCGAGCTCCATCTGCAATCCGGTCACGCAGGAGGCGAACACCTTTAACAGCGCATGGAAGCTGAGAGGAATACTGCGCTTACAGTGACCCTCATTTGCAGGGCTGTTCATGGCAGGGACCCTACATTACAGGGATCACTGTGTACCAACTGGTATATATACTGTGTGGGTAAAGTGCACAGCTTGATGTTGTAGTAGGTGCTGCCTGTATACCAGATACAATGTATGCAGGTGGAACAGATAGTCTCAAAGTACAGGCTGGCCAAACCTGTTCATAAAACCTCTGGACAGGCTCCTGGCTAACCCACAGGTCCCTACCACCGCAGAGTGGGGGGATTTAGAGTGAAACCTGGAGTCCCAACCACCATCTGCGCAGGCTGCGGGTAAGATACATCACCTGACGCCCGCCCAAGCGCAAACAAAACGGGGTCGCGTTCCAGGCTAGGTGACTGTGAACAATTACTGGGGTGTGACATACAGATTTTCTACAAGCATTGTTGGTGAATTTTCCTCATATATGGGCTCAAAATGTCCAAAAAGTGGTGGAGTTCATGAAGACGTCTTAATTATTAGCATTAGGCCTATTGGAAGAATATTTTATTTTTCAATCTAGGGACTAATCCTCTCAACTGTGCCAACTACATGCAAATGGAAGTAAACTGACTCTTGTGCGGGTCGTTCCCCACGTGTCTCGGAGTGCCGCTACTCTTGATCAGGAGTCAGGCCGCGCTAATCACAGCCACCGACTCCAGAACAAAAGAGATTGGAGTATAATGCTACTTGAACCCGACGAGCTAATATGAGGAATTCGACTTGGACAAATAGCGTTGGCCCACCATGCCCAAGCGCATGTCGACCTCGATGTTTGATATTTCACTTCCAAATATATAAATGGGCCGGCCACATGCGACATGTCGACCAGTTGCACCAGCCAATGGTGGCCAGCGGCCCCCCCAATGGCCAGCGGCCAGCGTGTTGCCCCATGCGCCTCCCAAGAGCCATCCGTGATGCCGGCCTGTGCCCGGTACCAAGGTTTCCAGCCCGCAATCACTACCTGCGAGAAGAAAACATGAGGTACATAACCATATTTTGTTTTTCTGGAAAAAAATGTGGTACATCACCACATGTTGTTTTTCTGGCAAACCATCTTGAGAAGAGTTCGAGTGGAGGGACTTCATGTGAGCTTGGAATCTGCGACTCCCCGAAAGGGGAGGGCCTGCTACACGTGTGCACGACAACCACCGTTAACATTTGAGTAGTCCTCTTCACATTGGTTTGAAGGCCAACCAACAGGGAACGCCACCATTTTGGGTGTCCCCCTTTTCAGCACAACTATGCAACTATGCTTTCTTCCAAAGATGTCAAACTTGCTTTCTAAACCGGGTCTTGGCGATCAGTTCAGAAGCTGAGGATGCGGCATGTCCCATGAGCGGACCCTGATGTGTTATGGCCAGGAGGGCTGAAGCAAGGTCATATTTCCCGGGTGCTTGCCAGACTTGTGCACCAGGCATGATGCAAGTCTAGTGAGTGAAATGAGCATGCCACCTTTGCATGTGTCAACAGAGATGCCCCTTCTGGAGCCTTCTCAAAGCAAAAATGAGTTGCCAACCATTTTGAAAGGCACGGGATCAAAAAGCTGTGTGTCCTTTGCGTCGCTAAACCAACACGACGAATACGGGGTCTCCAAGCAAGGATAGCCAATCGCCGTCTTCGGACACCCGGGCACCTGCCTCCGAGCACTTCTCGAAGGCCTGCTTCAGATGGTCCATGGACACGACGTAAATGCCTGAGACTCTGAGAGCGCCTGACCGCCCCCCCGACCCCTTGTGCGCCAACGGCATGGCATTTGGGATTTTGTTTGCCCAGTTCTTGGGTACAGAAAACCTCATTCCCAGCGTGGCTGAATGAAACACATTACGCCTCTTTGCAATAGAGGGACGCAAGCAAACGTGCAAGTCATGGGTTGACACATGCTTGACAATTGAGTGGTGCCCCAAGTTCGTCCCACACTAAGGCCACCTTGGTGAAACAAGACAGGTGCACAGGAAATCAAGGGAGAGCCGGAGCGATGACAAGTATTTTTCCACTTAGAGGGCGGTCACTTGTTGGACTTGGGCATCACAAATCTGCGGCATGAACCCACATAACCATGCGTTATCAAATGAAACAGCTTCTGTTCATGCGTGTGCTGCTTCCAGGCCGCACAAAGGTGAGGTTGCTTAAATCCGTCTTGTTTCATGACGCGCTTTCTCAGGGTATTCAGGGGACATTCCGCCATTCTGGCGGGCCTTTGTGTCTGTCACGCCGTGGCATTGTAACTCAGCGGGACCCCTCCTTAAACTGGCCGAAGCCGATCCAAGACCGTGCGAAACTTGCGCCACAACTTGAGTGATTCACCGGGCCATGTTGACTGTGTGTGTTGTTGTTTTGCTGGTTCCGTCAACAAAGCAACAGAGCAATAAGGAGTATCATTACAGCAAATCAATCCAGTCTATATGTTCGAGTGTTTTGTAAAGAGAAACCGCAATACCACCAAGAGTGCCAAGCTTCAGCTTGCGGCGATTTGCTGCGCTGTTCCACAGCAAATCTCTCCAAGGCAGCGGCAAACTTCCAAAGGCCCTGGCGTGTCAATTGCCAGGCCATGTGTCCCCCCCACGAATGGTGTCCTACTAGCTTCTTGCCGCAACGAGCGGGCAAATTTTGAAATTTGTTCAGCTAGGAGCTCCGAAGTCAAGTAGCTTGCTGGGGTGAGCGTGTGTAGGACATGGTGACATTACGTCTAAGTAACATCGCCGCTCGAGAATTTGGCATGCGTCTTGTTCAATGAACCCATGTTCTTGTAAGAGAACGTGGTAAGTTCCACTGTTGAAAGCGATGGAAACGCTTGTCGAATGTTCTTTCTGAAGACAACCATGCTGACATGGCACCTCCCGGTCCCCAGACTAACCCGCAATTCTGCCAGCCATCCATGTGGGTGGATAAGGTAGTGTCAGACTGTGGCTTGGTTCTCCTGCCTGGAGTTGGATGGCCAACAACACTGCAAGACAGCAAGTCTCAAACAGGGGCAACACACATGAATAAACGTTTGTTTGCCACTCTAAGAGCGCAAACTGTTGGGAAATAGATGGACACAGTCTTATCCCCGCACTATCCGAGTCTTAAATTTGTTGTCAGGACGTCATCTCATGCTATGAGCTTTGCCAGCAACCTCCGGGAATGCGATCCAATTCCAATACTAAACCAGCGATTTCCCCTCGTGACTCCAACTTGAGGGGTCCCCCCAAATACTTTACTTTCAGAAGCCGCAAGCAACAGAACCCCGAAACTGGCGGGAGTTTATTTGATTTCTTTACTTAAACTTTGCATTTGGGGCGCTCTTTTGACCCGTGCGTGGAAAGAATGTGTACTTTGTGCTACAACTCAAACTACTCCCTGCGACATTAACAAAAGCAAACAGGGGCCCCCGAATACCAAACCTGTTTTCTTTCCCCGGAAAACAACTGGTTAAGTTCGGGGGTCGCGTTTAAAATTAGAGGGACGGGATGAATCTGCAAACACACGCGCTACAATTCAGCATGTGCCTGGTTCGGGTGCCTCCTCTTCTTCCACGAAGGTCAAAGTCCTTACCGGCAAGGGAGGACAAGTGCCTTTGGAGGAAACCCGCCGGACATGGGCTTTCTTGCTTGCGCAACTGTAAGGCCCTAGAGCATGTGTATGTTCCTCGACTCACACAAAAAAAAACACAACGACTAATATCCAAGAATTGGCGCCATAATTAAGGTGAGCAGCGCATCACGACATCGCGCCGTTTGATGCACGCTTGGGTTTCCGCGGCACATGATCTTGAAAGGGATTGTCAAGGCCCCATTGGAGCAAGAAGACACCGCACCATGATGATGGCAACTGCTCCCGTCATCTGCCAGCTTGAAAGACTAAAGTCAAGCAAGATCCAAGCGGGATACGGAAGGGAGGCTGTAAGGATCCCTCCTTGCAGGGAAACAGGTCGCTGTCTGTCACGTTCACTGCGAGGAGCAAAAAACATGCTATCATTGATGCCGTTCATCCCGAGTGGCCAGAGGAGTCACTGAACTCTAGTTCTGGTGGACTGTTTATCTTGCGAGGGTTTGCTGGACTCGTCCAAAAGGTGCTGTCCATGTGAATCATGTCAAACAATGTGGTGTAGCATGTACTTCAGACTATGCGTGTTGTTGTTTCAGAATAATGCACAAGTATGCAACATGATGCAACGTCAGCGCTGTTCTTGGGGTAGGCCCTCTTATAAGGGGCGTTGTTGGAACTGTCCATGACCAAAAAGGTGTCCACATGTTGAGAACGGCAAGGTGCCTGAATCTAGCGAACGACGAACTATGTCCATGACCGACTAAGCCACTCATGAGCGACAAGTGCAATGTGGAAAGGAAAGAACACCAACAGTCAGTCTTCGGCCCTTCGCCTTGAACATAGTGACGTAAGGGGCATGCTTGTCTGGCTGCGACAATCTTCAAGTCTATGAGAGACAGGCGCATCCTCAAAGTGAAAGTTCATCGGGGCCAAACAAATCTATATCCCTTGACAAGCAAAATGGACAAAGAAGCCCTGAGCCTGAAAAGAAAACAACATGTCACCAAATCCCAAAGTGCGCAGATAAATCCTGAGCGAGGGGAGGGGACTCTTGTTGGAGTCCAAGGTTCCCACTTGCCTCAAACAACACACTTGCCCGTTTGTGCCCGGCCTCAGGAGTGTTGTCCCCAGAAACTTGCCCTGGACAAAGCCACATCTAGAAGCCCAAGAACGCCTTTATAGCAATTGTGACAAACGCTTCAAAGCAACTCTTGCACTCCCACCAACATGCGTTTGATGTGCAAGCTGCAAACCAGCTGCCAAACCAAACTGGATCAACATGTTCCGCATGAAATCCAAATGCAGCTGATTCGACTGCTCCGAAATGTTCTCAGCCTAGCCCTGAGACCAGCGGCTGATGCAGCGCTTTTCCCAGGGAGAAGTTCAGGACATAGCCCTGGCCAGAACACGTCGTTTCGACCTGATCCAATGTGGCAAGCTGCAGGGCCTACCTCCAACCGATGCTGGCACTAAAGGGATCTGGGTATCAAAGTCTCTTGGCCATTGAAGGGTTGCGAGACCCAAGTTTCCTCAAGACAAAACCGGGAATCGGATGCCTTCATGGAAGAACTCGTCAGCAAACCTCAGATCCACTCAACATAAGATAGCCAGATCCCATCCTCTGACCGACAGTGTCAGGAAAAGCCTGCTTGTTCTTGGACATGGCCGCATCCAGGAAGTGCGAGTAGAAGCGGACAACCTGGTAGAAGCCACAGGGCGTGTGGCAAACAAAAATGTATGCCCTGAGCCTTGGCCCCTGGAGCTTACAAACTGCTAAGCGATGCTAACAAAGGTTGCCCCAGACTTTGACCCGCCATGGGCATTGGCCGTTCTGGCAAGTCTATCAAAGCAGCCAGCCTCAGAGCCGCAAAATTGCCTGTGACCACCATACAATACAACGAATAATAAGCTCCTTGAAGAAATCGTGTTGCTTGAGTGGTCACGCCAATAGTGCGGTGGGAGCAATATTTCTCAGCATGTTGGAACCGGCAAGTTCTGTGGTAGCCCACTTGCCTACTTTGACCAGGGTTGTCCCTTTGACGCTTGTTTCCACTGATGGTCAAACAAGCTTGGCATACTCGCAAGAGGAAACTATACACTGTTCGGAGGCCCGCTTGTTTTTCTATTGCGATCCCCTTTCGTGAACAGGTACGGTGAAGTTCTTGCTCTAACAATCACTGCCAGCGGAACTCATGCTCAAAATCACAGCAACATTCAGCCCTCCAATCCGGGACTCCCCTTAGGCATGATGTCACAACAAATGTGAAAGAGTTGTCAGGCACATATTTGACAAATCACTGACCCCGCAGTTGCAAGTTCAGATGTTACTCGAATGATCTGTCAATCGCGATCATTCAGATATGCATCTATGTGTACCACGCATGCATGCATCATCACATTATGTCGCGCAGTGTATACGCACAAAAGACGGGGCAATATGCATGCAGCACACACACACACACCGACACACTGATATGAGCCTGCGCATCGAACACGGCTGAAACGGATTTGAGGCTCCACACGGAGCCGGCTTTGCCTCAGCTTACTGGTGGAGCAACAGCAAATCGAGAGGCCTGGAAGAACCTGTCAATATCAAAAATGCTGAAACACACCGCGAGAAATACCAGAGAAGTCCTTCGTCCTTCAAGTGTGGAATGCGCTACGCAGAACTCGTGAAGAACTCCTGGGATCCTCTTCCTTGGGCCAAATGAATTGGGTGTGCCCACGACCTCGGATTGACGCGCTTGCACTTGCTTTGAAACTTGGACCTTCCCTCATTGCTTCCAAGCCAGGAGTCGGAGGAGAAGGATGCAGAGCCTGAAGAGGAGCGAGTTTTCTGGGAATGATTTCATCCAAGGTGCGAAATCGTTTGATTTTGGAGTTGATTCTGGATATAACGGAAAGAACTCGGAAAGAGCGAAAGCGGACCAGGATGGACTGGAGCCACCATTGACATGGCGTTTTTGCCGACGGTGGAAACGGGCTTCACTTCACAAGGCATAGTTGAACAACCAAGGGCTGAGGACGCCCTTGCCCAGGCAAAAATAAACCAAGAACAAAAGGCTGCGTCGTCCAAATCTTAAACGGGCCTACCTATAAAAGACAACAATGCATCATCCTTTCTCTGCTTGTGATTCCTGCCTTACTTATTGGGAGGTGCTATCTTTCAGCATATCTGAAATGACTACTTTGGACTCTAAGAGAGGAATGAGGTATTCTTCGGCACAACGACGCTTTGGTGAAAGGGCGATTGCCGGAATCAATCCAACCCGGGATCTGACACGCCTAGTTTGAATACAGGCATTGGATCTTGACGAGTTGCCCGCAGCTATGGGATAAGTGATGCCGACCACAGCCAGGGCGTTGGACACCTGGCAACGAATGCACGTGGCCCATAGTACAGCTGGCAGTGGCCCAAGCAACGAAAGAATCACGCATTTGACTGGTGCTCTGGGTAGGTGGTCACTAGCGACTTCACATCCTGTCAACACTCTTTGGGCATGACTTTAAAGCTTAAAGGATGCCTGTCAAGTGCAACGTTTGTGCCGATGCAGCTTTGCTAAGCTGCAGGATGGGATCGATTATGTTATTGTGTTCCTAAGAAGAAGCAGCAAGCACAAATGTGGCAAATATAGTTTGCAATGGTTGTCACTTCACACACATTCACAACCTTCATACGCTCGAGGCCATCCTCACGTGTCACAGTCAAACTCTAGTTCGTCAAACTTACATGTTGGTGGTTCAGCAAAAGTCCTGTCAATGTCTGGCCAACATCCCTATGCTCTTCACAACACTTTCCTAGAGAACAACTATGTGCTGTAAATTATCTTGCCACTTCTCCATACTTGTATTGAGGTTTGCGAACATTGCCTTGCCTGATCCGTCCCCGGCAGCACAGAGCGCATCGTCTTAGCCATGCCGCCAACTGGAGCCTTGCGGAACGGGAGAGCTGTCGCAGGATGTTGCCATGCGGACACATTGCAACCGATACAGTATTGGGAGATCATGTCCTGGAAAAAGTAACGCACAGGCTGACAGGCCAACCCAGAAATCGCTGCGTTGCATCAAATGCTACTTCGGGACGTTGACTGGAAACTGTCAGTGGGCACCGAGTGCTGATCATGCAAGAAGCCGGTGAACACTGAGGGTCAAACATTCTACTGAATTGTCAATGTCCGAATTGCGAAAATGATGCACCCCTCAACAAAAGCATCCCACATCAAGAGCACCTTGCTGCCAGAAATGCGGTCTGCCAGTCATGGGTGCCAAACAACAATAGGAAAAACATAAACAACTATCCCCAGTTCTAATTTTGGGCTTGATATTCAGAGCACGTTGCAAAGCCAACTTGCCGCGTTGTCGTCAGAGTGCTTGAAACATGTCAACTCAGCTCGGCACCCACAAACCCGCCATCAACGACATCCTGCCTGGTTTACCACGAAGCTGTTGCCCACAGGGTCCTGCAGGAGGATAGCGTCTGCAGCGCTTTGGTCCTCCACAGGCAACCAACACTATGTGGGGGGCAAGCACAGGGTAGGTTAATTCAATGTTTGCTTGGGCAGGGGGAGAAACGAGGTATTGACATTTCCACACCTATTTGATCCTTTTTGCCTACCCAATGTGCAATTGCTGGCTAAACAAACGGATCGTTGCAAAGCTGAGACGTAGAAAAAGGATAAATGTGTGTATTTGTAACATATGTATCGTCTACAATGTGTAATACTATGTGTATATTGGTGTATATGCATGTGCATGTGTGTGTAGTTGTATGTATATGTGCGCATGTATCTGCATTTAGATTTTGAAGTAATATGGATGCAAATGTATAAAACTCAATGATAATTGCGTGTTGATGTGCATTTGTATGTCTATGGTTATTTGTATGTCAATGTAGGAAACTGCATGTAACTGGGAATGTATGTACGTATGTGTGTATGTCATAAATGTACGTAGGTATGTACGTATGTATGAATGTATGATCCCCTACTCATAAGGGGTGGGGGACCTGGAAAATGCAAATATACAGTTTTAAGGTCCCCCCTCG